TATCAATGGCAACTGCGCCATCAGATGTTCTCGCAGTTGAACTTCTGCAACGCGAATGCCATATCAAAAATCCATTGAGAGTTGTCCCATTGTTTGAGAAGCTTGATGATCTAGAGGCTGCTCCTGCGGCTTTGGCTCGGTTGTTCTCAATAGACTGGTACAGAAATCGGATCAATGGGAAGCAAGAAGTCATGATTGGTTATTCGGATTCAGGAAAAGATGCTGGAAGGTTCTCTGCAGCATGGCAGCTATATAAGGCTCAGGAGGAACTTATAAAGGTTGCTAAGGACTTTGGTGTTAAGCTAACCATGTTCCATGGCCGCGGTGGAACTGTTGGAAGAGGAGGTGGCCCTACTCATCTTGCTATCCTCTCTCAACCTCCAGACACAATCCATGGATCACTTCGTGTAACAGTTCAAGGTGAAGTTATTGAGCAGTCATTTGGAGAGCATCACTTGTGCTTTAGAACACTACAACGTTTCACTGCTGCTACTCTAGAACATGGAATGCGTCCCCCAAGTTCCCCGAAACCAGAATGGCGTGCTTTGATGGATCAGATGGCTGTCATTGCTACAGAGGAATACCGTTATTATGTATTCAAGGAGCCGCGCTTTGTTGAGTATTTCCGACTGGTAAGATATCAGAAAATCTTTATCTTCTTTGTTAAGCAAAATGACTTATAACAATCATTGTCAACCTTGTAACATGCAGGCTACACCAGAGTTGGAGTATGGCAGGATGAATATTGGAAGTAGACCAGCAAAGAGAAGGCCTAGTGGAGGCATTGAAACACTCCGCGCGATACCTTGGATCTTTGCATGGACTCAGACAAGGTTTCATCTTCCAGTATGGCTAGGCTTTGGATCAGCATTTAAAAGTATTATTGAGAAGGATGTTAGGAATCTCCATATGCTGCAAGAGATGTACAATCAATGGCCTTTCTTTAGAGTCACAATTGATTTAGTGGAAATGGTGTTTGCAAAGGGAGATCCAGGCATTGCTGCTCTGAATGATAGGCTCCTTGTTTCAAAGGATCTCTGGCCATTTGGGGAGCAATTGAGGAACAAATATGATGAAACTAAGAAACTCCTCCTTCAGGTAATGTTCTACTTTTACCATGTAAACATTAAACATTTTGCTTTTGTTAAACAGAAGACTATTTCTGCAATTAATTTATCTGCATTTATTTCCAAAACGACGTCGTTTTGGAATTGAAAGATTAAAAAATTATAATTATAAAGATTATAATAACCCTGAAATAAATTAAAATTACAAAAACACCAAGATTTTTGCCTCAAAACGACGGTATTAGGCTTACTTATTTGCAGTAACGGTAGAAAAAACGAACTCTTTATTAAAAGGCATACGCATATATACTCTAAACAAAATTGTTATTTCACAAAGCTAAGTTTTGTTTTTTTGCCGTAATGTTAGGTGGCTGGACACAGGGAAATTCTTGAAGGAGACCCCTACTTGAAGCAAAGGCTCAGGCTTCGTGATTCTTACATTACTACCCTAAATGTTTTCCAAGCTTACACATTGAAACGTATCCGTGATCCTAACTACAATGTGACGGTGCGCCCCCACATATCAAAAGAGTCAGGGGAAACAGGTAAATCAGCTGATGAACTTGTAACACTGAACCCAACAAGTGAATATGCCCCTGGTTTGGAAGACACCCTCATTCTCACCATGAAGGGTATTGCTGCTGGCATGCAAAACACTGGTTAAATTTGAGTTACTTCCTTTACTTCCCTTGTTTTTGCCTTTTTTTTATATCAAGTCTTGCCTAGATATCATAAATCTGGTTGAATCTAGTTGCATGCACCAAAAGTGAGTGCCTTTTTTTTTTTTTTTTGCCTCTCTTGTATCCACTTTTTTTGGTTATTTATGTTTTCCTATTTTCATGTAAAATATGGTTTGCTGCTCTAGAATTCCACCAGAGCTCTCTATCATACAGATGAGTCAGTGTAACTGATCTTTATGTTTCAATGCATAAATTTTACTGAGTACCATTGCACCCTTCTTGTACTTAAATTTGTACTTTAAGGTAGTGTTTGGTTGAAGTTTTTGGTGGAAATGTCCATCTATTTGAGTTTGGGAATTGATGTTGTCTTTGTTTGGTCGACGGTTTTTAAAAATTTTCCCACCAATCTCTTTTGCCTAGCAATTGAGAATCAAGTGCAAAAATGCACCATGGAAGTTTACCAACTTGAACATGTTATTGCATATATAGCTGGGCAAGTGGAAAAAAGATGATAAAAATGATGACAATGTTATCTCTTTTAACCCAATTTTTTCGGTAAATTTTTTTTCCAACCAAACAATTTTTTTTACATTTTCCTATCAAACTCATTTTCCAACCATTTTCCTATCAAACTCATTTTCCAACCATTTTCCTATCAATTACATCTTTCTAGTATTAAAAAAAAAATTCCTCAACCAAACACCCCCTAAGTCTTTGTTTGATACACGGTTATCCACCGGTATACTAAGATAAGATTTGAATTCTCACATGTTCCTTAACTCGTATTATGAAAGAGAAAGATATAAAGCAACTATAATGAGACTCACAATTATTTGTAGGATTCAATTACATTTGCTTTTTATATTTCTCTCTCTCATATTAGAAATTATAAAAGAAAGAACATTAAGGAATCTGAATCCTTTTGAGATAACTAAATTTAAGATCTATGGGCACTAGAGGTCGTTGTTCTAACTATTACAATTGAAAATGATATACTTATTATGGATGTGTGATTCATGAATAACAACAATAGAGTCTTCGAATCAGCTACATAAATCATAACTTACCGTGAAAAAGCTTTGATATCGCATTATTAAGCACCAGCTAATGAAACAATATTGTCATTGAAATTTGTCTTTTTTTTTACTCTATAAGCAAGTCTCGGATCTCCAAGTAACCATGAAAAAGCTTTGATATAGCATTACGCACCAACTAATGAAACAATGTTGAGCTAAAAAGCGATTGCTGCGTGGTATAGATCAAATAATACCAAGTTATCTTTAAGGGGGCATTTGGTTGAGGAAATTTTTTTTAAATACTAGAGAAATGTAATTGATAGGGAAATGGTTGGAAAGTGAGTTTGGTAGGAAAATGTAAAAAAAATTGTTTGGTTAGAAAAAATTTTACCGGACAAATTAGGTAAGATTTATAAAGTCTATGTTTGGTTAGAAGTAAAATATTGATGGGAAAATAAGTTTAAATTACAAAATAACCCTTAGTCTTGGGCCGTTCCTTGCGCCAGGTATATCTTTTGCAACTTCTGAACTTATTTACTTATACCTTTTTTTTATTCATAAAACAAATGATTGTTCATATATTTTTTATTCTGGGATATGAAAGAAAGATGATGAATGCAACTTGAAGGAAAGCAAATCACTACAATTTTCATCATAATTGGTTAGTCTCTTACTCCAGTTCTTCATATTGAGTAACAGTGTCCCAGTTGGTAGCAGAGTCTTTGCAGACCCTTTAACCAAAAATTGTTTCCGCAAGCAACTTCACTTCCATTCCCATTGTGTTGTTTTTTCTTCATACTCGTAAATCCTCTCTCTTCCTCGGTAGGAGCAATGTCTAGGGGTGCACACGTATTTTGCCATTTATCTATCCCTCATTTAGCTAGTTATCTTGTGAAATACCATGTGAGAAGTGAGTTTTTTGCACAGTATTTTTTTGCTCATTTTTTCACACAATTCTGAAAAGTTAGGGAACTAAGTTTGGTAGGAAAATTTTGTGTTCTCTTCTACCAAACATGGGTAACACATAATCCAACTCTTAGATGCCTAGGTATCCTCTCAAAAATCCTCTACCAAATAGCACCTAAGGCAATGTTATCAAAATCTGATCAGTTTGAATTGAACATAGGGGGCGTTTGGTTGAGGTTTTTGTTGTAGATGCCTAAGCAACTTTAACTGATATTTTTTCTTGACCATGTTTGGTATAAGAGCCAAAAAAATATAACCAGGCAAATCATTTGCCTGGCATTTTGGTTTCTTTGTAAAATTTGAAGAAATTTACATTTCCGAAAAATCACTTGCGATGTGGTATTTTGGGATTTGTTGGGAAACTGAGAAAAAGAGCGCGAAATGGAGACGAAAATGACCTTGAGATGTACTGTTGTCATCGGTAGACTTTCCTTTATTTGAGATTCAAAAATTAAAGGGGTTACTTTTGTATTTTAATCCATTTTTTCATCAATATTTTACTTTCAACCAAACTAAGACTTAGAAAACTTAATTAATTTTTTTCAATAATATTTCGCCCTACCAAACAACTTTTTTTCAATTTTACCAGTAAATTTACTTTCCCACCATTTCTCCAGTAATTGTATTTACCTGGTTAAAAAAAATTTCTCCTCTACCAAACGCCTCATGGGTTTTATTACTCTTCTTTCACATAAGATAGTTATCTTATGTTATGTTGTAGAGAGAAAATGAGTGGGTCCCACCATTGCATAAAAAAAGAAAAAAGAAAAAAAGTGAGATGCGAAAATAGAAGTGAGATAATATAAGAGAAGTTATCTTATATGAAAGGAGAGTAATGATTCCCTTAAATATATATAGTAATATATTGTAAATAAATATAAAATTAGAAATATTATAACCAACAAATAGAGTTGCTCTGGTAAGTGTTGTAAGCTGCACTAGAAGTCTGAATCTTGTGAGAAATGCTAGCAACACTTATTTTCTTAATAATCGTTTAATCTTTTATTTTTTTACTTAATCTATAATATTTAACATAAAATTTATAATTGAACAAAAATATAATACTCCCATTTTAAAAGAAAATACGAATGTAAACCCGAGATTGCCCTATGCATTAAAGTTGGGGAGATAAATTTGTGAGATTCCATTATAAACATTTTATTTTATTTTATTTTTGAAAAAAAAAAAGAAGTATTAAATTAATAAAAGTAAAAGGGAGAAAAAAAGAAAAAGATAAAAAACTGCACTGACAAAAGTGAAGAATTTGCTTTGGAAGGAAGGAAGGAAGGGAGTGAATAATGAATGGGATGGTTTCAATTTTCAATCTTTTGAAAGACAGTGTTTAGGGTTAAGAGAAGAGAAAAAGAAGAAGAAGAAGAAGAAGAAAGGATTGCATTTCATTTTCATTCTCATTTTCTTTTCGAAGTGAAGCCATGGCGATGGCCCTTTCGAACTCGATGAGGCAGAGACGCTCTCAGCCTTCTGATTCGGCGCCATCTCAGCCGTACACGAAGCTCGACAAGCCCCAGAAATCGGACGGCGAAGACAAAGGGTTGGGGTGGTTGTTGCCGTTTCTGGCTTTGGGATTTTTGAGGTACACGAGTGCAACCTCCAACATCATCCACGATTGTGATGAGGTTTTCAATTACTGGGAACCCCTTCATTACCTTCTCTACAAAACTGGCTTCCAGACATGGGAATATAGGTACACAGTGTTCATTCATTTTTTTTTTATTTTTTTTTCTGATGCTGTTTTTGTATTCAAGTAAATAATGGGGTTATGATGTATTTTACTATTTTTCTTTTTATTTTTGGTTGGGAAGATTTTGGGGTTCATTTTTGACAAGATGGGTGGTGGGAGAAGAGAAAAAGTTTTGATTTTGATGACTTATATTATATGCATGTAGCTAGTAGATGAGAGGAAAAAGATCATTTTGATGATGCCCTTATTGGGTTTTATGTATAATTTGGAAGAAATTAATTAAATGACGTATTACAAAAAAATAAAATAATGGTAGCTTCAGTTCGGGCCAATATTCTCCATGGTGTTGACAAATGACAAGTGGTGTGCATATTGCAGTTCACAGTTTGCTCTTCGGTCGTATTTGTACCTTTTGTTTCATGAAATAGTGGGTCGACCAGCTTCATGGTTGTTTGGTGAGGAAAAGGTAAGATTTCAGCTTTGCTTGCATATTGATTGATTACAGATTGCATATTTTCATGTTTATGGTTTTTATGTAATCATTGTCTTTTCCTGTTGTAGGTCAGAGTATTCTATGCTGTGAGATTCTTTCTTGGTCTTCTCTCTGTTTTCACAGAAACTGTTCTCGTGGTAGCTCTTTCAAGAAAGTATGGAAAACGACTTGCTTGTTATGCACTTGCTATGCTGTGCCTAACTAGTGGCTGTTTCTTTGCTAGCACAAGTATGTGAACTTTGGTTTTTTTTTTTTTTTTTTATCAAAATGATTTCTTATCGTCATCCTTGTTCTCTTGTCATTTATACATACCTGCCTTTGATGATAATTCTCAACCTCACCCAAACACAAACCCTTTTAAGACATAAGCAAATTGGCATATAAATAAAGGTTGACCAAGTATTATGTATTTCCAGATTCAGTATTCCATCTGAGATGTGGAGCTCAGTTTTGCTAATGTTCTTCTTTATCAATTGTCTGTTTTCTCTAGGTTTCTTGCCAAGTTCGTTTTCTATGTACGCAATGTCTCTTGCATCAGGTTTATTTCTTCTTGATAGACCTGCTTCAGCAGTTGCTGCTGCTGCTATTGGTGTAATACTTGGCTGGCCATTCTCAATATTGGCTTTCCTTCCGGTGACACTTTATTCTTTATCTAGAAAATTCAAACAGGCATTCATTGCTGGGGCTGTCACATCAGTTATTCTCCTTGTAAGTCAGATTTTTTTCTCATATTGACCTTCTTTGGCCTGTAAATTATGCCTATACCATCTAATGTTGTATATAGTATATAGTTGTGCTTGCATCTTATTATGTTGTTAAACATCATATCCTTTACAATGGTAGCATATTTTAATTTTTTACAGGCATTGTCAATAGTTATTGACTTTTACTATTATGGAAGATGGACTTCATCTGTCTTGAATCTTTTAATATACAACGTAGCTGGAGGCGGGGAAAGCCATCTGTACGGGACTGAAGGGCTTCTTTTTTATCTGAGGAATGGATTTAACAATTTCAACTTTTGCTTTGTTCTTGCTCTTCTGTTCTTGGGAATTTTGCCTATTGCAAAGAAGAAATATGCACCAGACCTACTGATTGTGATATCTCCGGTGTATATTTGGCTGGGGTTTATGTCTTTGCAGCCACATAAAGAAGAAAGGTTTGGCAAAAAGTTTACCTGGTCTTCTGTTTCAAATTTAATCATACTATGTTATTTGAGGCAAACATGTTCTTTACTCTTGCACAATGCGCACACCATGTCTATCATTATATTTTTATGTTATGACATTGAAATCAACACTAACTTTGGTTTATACAAATCTAACTACCTTCTATTTTTGGTAATCTCCAATCCACACCTATATATTAAATTAGAGTACACTCTTTTGAGAGTGGTTTGATCTCTTAATCTACTCTCCTTTAAAGAATGACATATCATTCTTAACTTCTCTTCTTTAAAATTTTAAATTCTAATTCTTTTGAAATAATTATGCATATGCCCTTTTTTTGCTTTTTTAATCTATAGCTTTTAGGTTCTACCTTAATCATGCATATACCCATTATAAATTTAAACATTTTTTCTCTTTATATATTTTTTCTTTCAAAGTTTACTTATATTTAAAAATACCCACGCGTTGCATGGGATTATTGTTAGGATTGCATCATTTAGGAATGAGAGTTTAGTTAGTTCAGTTTAGATATAGAAAGACAGGAATTGTCTTTGAATTGGTGCACTCACCTATAGTTAAGAAACCTGGAACCTTATTAATTGACTTGAATATAAAATAATAGAAGAATAATATGTTGTGTATTGATCTGTGTCAAGGAGTTACAATATATAGAGACCCTAATGGGCTTAAGTGTAAGGCCCAAACCTAATCCAAACCTAATCCTAATACAGTCAGAATACAGTCAGACTATTTACGGATAAGACAGAATCCAATCATATCTAATCAAATCTAATCATATCATATCTAATATTCTAACACTCCCCCTCAAGCTGGTGCGTATATATTATGAGCACTAAGCTTGTTACAAATGTATTCAACCCGAGGACCTCTAAGAGCTTTAGTGAAAACATTTGCTAGTTGATTAGATGAGTTGACAAAAGCTGTCTTGATTTCTCCTGACTGAATCTTTTCCCGAATGAAGTGACAATCAATCTCTATATGTTTGGTCCTCTCATGAAAAACAGGATTAGAGCATATATGTAGTGCAGCTTGATTATCACAGATGAGTGTCATGGGTTGTTTCTGTTCACAAAGATGAAGCTCCTGAATCAACTGCTTTAACCAGATCAACTCACAGGTAGTATTTGCCATTGCACGATACTCAGCTTCTGCACTAGAACGGGAAACAACAGGTTGTTTCTTGCTTTTCCATGAGATTAAGTTTCCTCCGAAGAAGACACAATAACCAGAAGTAGAGCGTCTGTCCGAGGGTGATCCTGCCCAATCGGCATCTGAGTAACCACAAATTTCTGTATTTCCCTGATCCGAATACAACAAACCTTTTCCTGGTGCTCCTTTGATGTATCGGAGGATCCTCACAGCAGCATCCCAATGTGAATCACAAGGGGAATCAAGGAACTGACTGGCCGTACTGACAGCGAAAGAAATATCTGGCCTAGTCACAGTAAGATAATTGAGCTTCCCAATTAGCCTCCGATAACGTCCAGGATCAGATAACGGCTCCCCCTGTCCGGGTAATAACTTGACATTAGGATCCATAGGTGTATCAACTGGTTTACTCCCCAACATACCAGTTTCTTCTAGGATATCCAAGGCATATTTCCTTTGACAGATAGAAATGCCCTGCCTTGATTGCGCCACCTCAATTCCCAAGAAGTAACGCAGCTTCCCAAGGTCCTTTGTTTGAAATGTACTAAACAAATGCTGTTTTAACTGACGAATTCCGTCTTGATCACTTCCGGTGAGAATGATGTTGTCAACATAGACTAACAAATAGATACACTTATCAGGAGATGTAATCCTATAAAACACAGAATGGTCAACTTTACTGAGGATTAAGCCAAACGCCTGAACAGCAGAACTGAAACGACTGAACCATGCTCGAGGAGACTGCTTGAGACCATATAAGGATTTCCGAAGACGACACACCTTTCCAGACTCCCCCTGAGCAACAAAACCAGGTGGTTGCTCCATGTAAACTTCTTCTTGTAAATCACCATGAAGAAATGCATTTTTGATGTCAAGTTGAAGGAGTGGCCAGTGACGAACAGCAGCAAGGGCAAGAAAGAGGCGGACTGACGCCATCTTAGCGACCGGAGAAAATGTATCGCTATAATCAAGGCCAAAGATTTGAGTAAAACCCTTGGCAACTAAACGTGCCTTGAGACGATCAATATGGCCATCAGGTCCAACTTTCACAGTAAAAACCCAGCGACAACCAACTATAGACTTCTCTGGAGGAGCAGAAACAAGGTCCCAAGTGCCATTGGAATGAAGTGCAGTCATCTCATCAAGCATTGCTTGACGCCACCCTGGATGGGAAAGTGCTTCACCTGTGGTCTTAGGAATAGAAATAGAAGAAAGACTAGAAACAAAGGTGAAATGAGGTGAAGAAAGACGGTCATAACTCAAAAAGGTATAAAGAGGATAAGGGTTACGAGTAGTACGTGTACCTTTTCTTTGAGCAATGGGAAGAGTCTCTGATGAAGGATCCGGAGGGGAAGAAGCAACAGCAGTGGGCGATGAGTCAGCAAGAGTCGAGTCGACAGGAGGCACAGTTTTGCGACGCTGATAGGTGAGAAGTGGACGGTCCTCAGGTATAGAAGCAATAGGTTGCTCATCTGGAATAGAAGCACCTGCAGCTGGCAAAGACAAGTCAAGAAAAGGGACAGGAAGGACATGATCAACCTGTGACATCTGAGATGGGATAGAATTAAAGGGTTGTTGATCAAGAAAAGTGACATCAGCGGAAACTAAGTAACGCTTAAGGTCGGGAGAATAACAACGATAACCCTTTTGAAGACGAGAATAACCAAGAAAGATACACTGAAAGGCTTTGGATTTTAACTTATCCTTACCAGGAGTGAGATCATGAACAAAACAAGTACAACCAAAGACATGTGGAATTAGAGGATAAAGAGGAACATCTGGAAGCAATAGATTATGAGGAATGTCATTGTGGAGCACAGATGAAGGCATGCGATTGATGAGAAAACAAGAGATGAGTACAGCATCTGCCCAGAAGTGAAGGGGAACCTGCATATGAATAAGAAGGGTACGGGCAGTTTCAATGAGATGTCTGTTTTTACGTTCAGCCACCCCATTTTGTTGTGGAGTGTGAGGACAAGTAGTTTGATGTAAAGTACCTTGTGTGGCCAAGAATTTAGAAAAATCAATAGAAACATATTCCTTAGCATTATCACTACGTAGAATACGAATAGAAACACCAAATTGAGTATGGATCTCAGTAGAAAACTTTTTATATATGGAAAATAGCTCGGAACGATTTTTCATTAAATAGGTCCAAGTGCAACGGGAAAAATCATCAATAAAGGTAACGAAATACCGAAAACCTAAGACAGACAAGGTACGACTTGGACCCCAAATATCTGAATGAACAAGAGAGAAAGGGGCATCAGCTCGTTTATTGACTCGACTGGCAAAAGAGGAGCGTGTATGCTTCCCTTGTTGACATGACACACAATCTAAAGACTGAAGACCGGACAAAAGAGGAACCATTTTCTGCAACTTTGAAAGACTTGGATGACCAAGGCGACTGTGGATAAGTTGTGGAGATTCTGTGAGAGAGCATGCTACTGAAGGACGAGGCACATCCAGATAATAAAGCCCTCGTGACTCACGACCCACTCCAATCATTTTCCCCGTACCCGGATCCTGCACAGAAACAGAATGGTTAGAGAAAGTAATGGTGCAAGTGAGGGAGTGCATCAACTTACTAATAGAAATTAAGTTATAAGGGATGCCAGGAATGTAATAGACAGATGTCAGGGCCAAGGTAGAGGTCGGACGAGCTTGTCCAATCCCACGAACTGGGGCTTTGGTTCCATCCGCAAGGGTAAAAGACGGTAAATGATCAGAATAAGTAAGAGATGTAAAGAGTTCCTTATTACCACAGAGATGATCGGTAGCACCGGAGTCAAATATCCAAGTGCCAAGTGATGTAGAATGAGAAGCACAAGCAACAGGATTACTAGTATAAGGCTGAGACTGAGGAGAAGCCTTCCTGAGAGGGGTTTGGAGTGCAGCATAGTCTGAACCTGAACCAAATGATGCATTGTCTGACTGAGCTATATTTGCAACAATAGAAGGAGAGTTAACCTCCGAGAGATCAGGAGATGCTGCTGCCATTTAAAGATAAAATATAAAAGCCGTAAACGAAGGCAAACGATATCCAATCAAGAAGAACCACGCGTCTAAGGTCAGACCCACAGAGAAACAATCACAGATCCAGAAAGGGGAGGAGAAGGCGAGCTTCTCTGTCCAAGACCGGCCGGAAAAAGCTGCCGGAATAGTGCTCACGCACCGGGTTGCCTGAACAGTGATTCTGACGGCGGGCGGTGGTTCCGGTGGCCGTCGGAGGTGCTGACACGTTTGGAAAAATCACTCAGAGGTTGTTTACAGCCCTAGAAGGCTTGCCGGAAGGACGCACGGCAAGAAAGAGGACTCCTAAGCAGTGGGCTTAGGTTTTAAAGCAAAAAACAAGGTTTCTAAGCGGAAGCGAGGGTTCCCAGAACGAAAGAGCTCTGATACCAACTTGAATATAAAATAATAGAAGAATAATATGTTGTGTATTGATCTGTGTCAAGGAGTTACAATATATAGAGACCCTAATGGGCTTAAGTGTAAGGCCCAAACCTAATCCAAACCTAATCCTAATACAGTCAGAATACAGTCAGACTATTTACGGATAAGACAGAATCCAATCATATCTAATCAAATCTAATCATATCATATCTAATATTCTAACAAATTGATTACTAGCTTATAGTGAATGAGACACTCAATTTGAAGTTGCAGTGAAGTCAATTTCCAAAATATTTACATTATTGCAAATTTTCTTTTGTGCATTCATTGAGAAACTGATGGAAGAAAGAAATTTGGAATTACCAAAACTTTAGTTTAGTTTCGTGGGCATCTTCAATTTATTGAAAGCATGTCTTCTAGAAGTTTTTTGTTTATTATTATTATTATTATTATCTATGTAGCACCGATACTGACACGTGACATGATACGACACGACACTCCGACACGTTAATTTTAAAAAATGTTAGATTTCGACACGTTAGGACACGTTTTGATATTAAACAATATTTTTAATTTATGTAGTATATATTATATTTATTATTCAATAATTTAACAAAAAAATGAATCTAAACTTATAATATTCATAAATTTTGCAAAGAAACATAAGATATTCCAAATATTTATATTAAACTCAATAAAATGGTAATCGTAACCCAACGAATCTAATAGTTGGAACTAAAAACTCAACGCAACGTAACCTTTGAACCTTTTTTGAATTTCTATAATGCGTGTTGGAGTGTCGGGGAGTGTCGGAGTGTCCGAGAGTGTCGGACACGATACGTCAAAGTTTTTAAAGTGTCGGTGCTTCATAGATTATTATTAGACGGGCCTATCCTTAATTAAAAAACAGTTGCAAAAATCTAAGTCCTTTTCTGTGTGTGTATCTAGTTGGATTAGTTGTTCATTACGGGGATTCACTCCTGAATAGAGGTGGGTGTTGCTCTCCCTTCGGATAAATCTAAGCTAGACACTGTAACTGGATTTGATGATCATGGTTTAGTTATCCTCCACATTGGTATAGCAATTATTATGATAATTTGTGCGCTTCAGAAGATAAACAGTAGAGGATGGGGTACTCATTTAGAATTATTTCTTCATCTTGTGCATTTGGGTGAATTAACTATTGTTTTCTTATTTGATTGTGTTATTATAAAATTTACAGTTATATCGACATGGATAACTGATTTTTTTCCCATCCTTCTTCCTGTATGCCTTTTACATGCAGGTTCCTTTATCCAATATATCCACTTATTTGTGTTGCTGCTTCAGCTGTCATTGAGAGCTTCCCTGATCTTTTCCGTAACAAATATGATCCAAACGATAATTCTATAATAGTGATGGTGAGATTATCAATTTACGTGAGATTCAGATAGATCTTTATTTATCTGATGTGGAAGCAATAAGTACATTCTGAATGTCACTCTTGCTAAATGCAGGTAGCCAAATTTCTGAGACCAGTGTTTCTCAGTCTGATATTATATTCCTCTCACGCTCGTACATTTTCTCTGACTAATGGTTACTCAGCTCCCTTGGGGGTTTACAAGATTTTAGAGCACCATGGCTATGCAGAAAACGGTGAGGGTCGAATACTTTGGTGACTTTGTTTATTTATTTTGTGTATGGGGGCTGAAAACATTTTAAGTGTGATTAAATGGAGAAATGATTAGGTCATGTGTCATATTGAAGCCTACAATTTGTAAGGAATATTTTGTCTTCAGAAGGATTTACAGAAAAATGGAACTAAAGGGTACTTCAAGAAACTAAGACTGCTGTGTTGCTTAAATTTGCAGACTCCTTGATAGTTTTCCTTTTTTAATTTATCGGGAAAATGAATTACTAATAAAATATGTTCACGAAACTAAAGTGTTGTAATTAACTTGGATTCTAACTATTACTTCAATATGCATTATAACTTTTGATTACAATCAACTAACTCATTTCTTGTGCTTGCTCAAATTGAAGTTTTCTATTGCAAATTTTTTGTACAACTTTGTTTACTTCCTCCTTATTTGGTATAGTTCTGTCATTGATCCCTCTTCTAGGCAATGTTACATTTTGTCATTACCTTCTAGTCTTAGCGAAATTTCACTGTTTATTGAAAGCTTCTGTGTCAAATGTCCATTGAAGTATGAAACTCAAATTTGGTTACACATCAGTGATATTCCGTCTTCACTGCGGGGAAAAAGAGAGACAGAAACCAGTTTCAAAGTCCAAGTTTCTTAGATATTTTTATACAAAAACATCAGAATTATGTATTATTTTTTTCCTTTTGTATTGCAGGTTCTGTACTTTGTGTTGGAAGTGAATGGCACCGCTTTCCATCATCATTTTTCATCCCAGATTATGTGGGACAGGTTCGATGGATTGATGATGGGTTCCGAGGTCTTCTTCCTATCCAGTTTAATTCTACCCTAGGTGGGACTGCAGCAGCACCGCCGTATTTTAACGATAAGAACAAGGCATCAAATGAACAATACGTATGTCCTCTTTAACTGCATATATTGGTGCTAGACTGGCGAATGAATTCTCTTATGTCTCTTTTTAACATTACCACGTTATGTGAGAAATCATAGTCATTCATTGACTTATCTATGGTCACAATATTGATCACAAAGCTCATAAAACGAAGAAGAGAAATTGTCATTTTAGTTGCTGGCTGTTGATCTATCATTAAATGGCTAAGATTTTTCACATAAGAGGATCCATTCCCGCAAGACTGTTAGTTCTTTGTTCTATTTTAATTTTTGTTAGAAGGAAACTGACTTGTGACTAACATTGATTTGGCAGCTCCATGATATTGATGCATGTACTTACCTTGTCGAGCTGCAGCTAAAGCGGCCTTACTTGACTCGTGGAAGTGATTTGTCAACATGGGAGGTAGAAGTCAATCTTGAAATTTCTCATATTGAATGCTAATAACATCTTCTTTTAATTGTTTGGATATTGTATGTATATTTCAGGCTATTGCTGCATTGCCTTATCTGGACCGGGAGCTTTCACCACCTTTGTATAGGTCTTTTTTCATCCCTTACCTTTGGTATGAGAAGAATGTTTTTGGCATGTATAAGTTGCTTAAAAGAATACCCAAATAAAAGGGAAAATGGTGGATTTACAAGAAAACCATTTTTGTTAGAGACAGTAAGTTTGTAGGATTTTCCTCTATCTGTTGTTGAATATTTGATTTAGTTCTAATCAGCTTAAGTTTCTACCTTGTTGTAATGAATGTTGTCCTACTTTCTCCCACACAAGCATTCAGTTCATTAATCATGTTCAGTGCAATTTGTAACACCAAGTTCAGATGAAGACATTCTGCATATTCTAAGTGTAGTTTCAATCTTCAGTTATCTCTAGATTCAATTCATATTTAGCTTGAAAATGGGTAATCAAACTTTTGTGTTGTTTCACCACTGAGTTATCTTCCATGCACTTATGAGAGTAACATTCTTGAATATGACTATAGCGAATCAAAATAACATGTTTTTGACATTATGACTTTCTTGAATAAGCTACACACTATATTTCGCAAAAAAATATAGGGGTTTGCATTCAGCATGTAATATGACACAAAAACGTTTTTTACACAACATTTTGTGGGATCCGTATTTTTTGAAGCAAAAAAAAAAACTGCACGGAAAATGAATCTTTATAACATAACAGAATCACTTTTATTACAACATAATTCTTATAAAACCCAAAAATATATGTTGGTTTTTGAACATTTAGCTCATTTTCACAAAGTATAGGAAATGGATGGCTGAGTGTTTTTTTTTTTTTTAAAAAAAAAAAAACCACACGTGTTAATATGATGTGAAAATAACATTTATCTTTTCACTTTTACCATATATCATTATTTGATTACCAGGTGCCCTGCTGGAACCAAATTCTTTCCTTTTAATTTTTTTTTTTGGAAGTGCTGGACAACCAACTTATGCTACATGAATAATGATGTTGTCTATAAAGTAAAAATGTTAAACTTTTTACTTTTTCTCTTTTATTTTTTTGAAGGAATCTTTGGGATCAATCATGATTATTCATCCATTCTAGTACGTCTTAAATTTGTCCCTCGTGTAAATAACTTTGTAGTTGTGGTGAAAAAGCATGATGGTTTTTTATTTCAAATAGTGCTGGTTTATACAAACTATTTATTAAAATCAAATTTTAATCTATTTATCAACAATTTATATGACATTATCATTTTTGTCGGCTGCATGGTTTTTTTTTTTTGTAATGGATTCTCAGTTAGGATGATCAAGTAACACACTTTATGAAAATTCATTTTTTATGAAAAAATATTATATATCATTATCACCTTTGTTTTGAACTAGTTGGAGAAAAAAAAATCATAAATTGAAAAAGTTACGATAACAAAATTATTGTAGTGAACAATTTAGAAAGTCTCTTTAATATATATTTTGTATTATTATGTTATTGAGAAATGTTATACTTGTTACCATTTTAATTTCATTATTCTTACTACATGTTTGGTTACTTGGTTACTGTTGGGTCAACTTGAAATTATCGGTAATTAATTTTTTCTCTAAATTTAAATTAATCTAATGGTAATCAAATAAATAGTTAGAGTAATAAAATTAAAATGGTAATAAGTATAACCGTCTTTTATGTTGTTTGGATAAGAAAATCCCATAAAAACAACATTATTCAAGGAATTTACAAAAAAAGAATAGTTTAAGAGTTAATGTTTTTCGTGTTGTAAAATATAAATTTTATCTTCTATACATATATAAAAGTGTGTGGAGCCTATATGAGCCCATAAGAAGAGAAGACAAAGAAAGAGAAAATATAAATCTCACACATTCCTACAATAATAGAAACAATAAACCTATATATATATTTTTATTGAATTACAATAAAAATCAAACACTACACATACTATGCTACATACATCTAACACATACACCTCATGCAACTAGGCTAAACTAGTGGTTCCAATAAACCTATATTTGAAGGGTTTTATAAAAGTTATCTTATAGGAAAAATAATTGTGTTATGTTATAGAAATTCGTTTTATGTGTCATAATTTTTTTTTTTCTCTAAAAAATATGAATACCATAAAATATCATGTGTGTAAAAAACCTATCATCAATGCAAATCTCATATTTGAATGCTAGTTTTGATACTCACCTAAAAACTGCAATCACAACCTCCAAATATCTTTAGAAATATCACACACTCCGAAGAGGCGTAGATACCCTACGTGGCACACCTTGATTGGCTTGATCCAACCAGTGTTTATGCACTTAACCATGAGATAATCTCCTCTTTACGTTTGAAAAACACCCACAATATTTCAAAGTTAAGTTTTATGAATTATAAAAAAGGTGTGATTTTTGTTATCAAAAAAAAAAAAAAGTGTGATTTTTAATATCACACAACAAATTTTCTTACACACACAATATTTTATGTAGTTCACACTTTTTGAAGAAAAAAGAAAAAAAAGAAATTAGGGCACGCAAAACAAATTTTTATAACATTACACAGTCACTTTTCCTACAACATAATTCTTATAAAATTTATTATAAAACAAGTGTTACTAAAAACAATAATAACAAATTTGTCCCAAATTAATTAAATAAATAATGAATTTAGAGAATATATATAAAAAGTAATTAATCAATTAAAAAATACTAACATGGCACGTGGGGCCCACACCCACACCCTATGGGTAGTACCACCTCCTAGGTTTGTCACCGGCAAAACATCCTCCATCCTACCTATAAATTCTCGAACCTAGAATAAAAAAACAAACAAAAAAACCGTATCTACCTTTCCTTTCATTTGTGGTTCCTCTCTTTCTCTCTCTAAGCACACCACAGAGCAGAGAGAAACTGTAACCAGAGATACCTCAAATCAGCCATGGCTTTCTCCTCCGAGGAGCGCGACAACTTGGTCTACGTTGCCAAGCTAGCCGAGCAAGCTGAGCGCTACGATGGTTCTCTCTCTCTCTCTCTCTCGTTCGATGTTCACTGTGAACATCGATTCTGGTTCTTTCATTTCACCTTCATTTCACTTTCAATCACGTTTTCAGCAGCTTCTTCAACTACCCACTTACTCTTTTTCCTTATAACAGTGTTTGCTCTGATAAAGTTTCAATTTTTCAAAAAAAAAGTTTTTTTTTTTTAACTTCTGCATTGAACTGCTACTTTACTTTTCCATGCCCACATCATCATATGAGTTTTTGGGAAAGAAGAAAAAGAGAAAATTTTGGATTGTATAGTTGTGTGTGTTTTGAAATTGATTCAAGAGTGTTCAGTGTTGGAGTAATGTGGTGTGCAGAAATGGTAGATGGCATGAAGAAGGTGGCGAAGCTGGACGTTGAGTTGAGTGTGGAAGAGAGAAACTTGTTCTCTGTTGGGTACAAGAATGTGGTGGGGTCACGGAGAGCTTCATGGAGGATCCTGTCATCGATAGAGCAGAAAGAGGAGTCAAAAGGGAATGAATTGAATGTTAAGCGTATAAGGGATTACAGGCAGAAGGTGGAGTTGGAGCTGTCCAACATTTGCGGTGACATTATGATAGTTATAGATGAGCATCTAATCCCATCTACTAATATTGCGGAGTCCACAGTGTTTTATTATAAGATGTATGCTTTGTTTGTTGTTTTGATGTTTGTGAGATTTTTTAAGTGTTTTTGTTTTTCATGTTTTTAGATTTTGGTCTTTTAAACCATTTTTGGAGTTTTGACTTGGATGCAGGAAAGGGGATTATTACCGGTATTTAGCAGAATTCAAAGCTGGTAATGAAAAGAAAGAGGTAGCAGATTTGTCGCTTAAAGCATATCAGGTATTCACTTGAAGTATTAAGGACCACCTCTGTAACATGAGTTTGCCTTATACTTATATATATGCCAGACTTCCATGACAAGGTTGGATGAACTTTACTAATTTAATGTTAGTAGAAAATGTAGATGATGATAATTATATGATGTTTAAATGTTAGCTATCATCATAACTTTGTATCAGTAGCTTAGTTAGAGATGTTTTCATAAATTTTGGCCCTTAAGATCCTGCTACTTTGGAATACCTTTTATGCCATGACTTCTTGTGCAAGTAAAGTGTCTCATGAATTAGTCCTTGTCTGTACATTAGCAGTTACTTTGAACCTTCTATTATTTTATGATTCTTGCCTACAAATGGGAACTTCATTGGGATTTATATATATATTTTTTACCAGTGATTTGTATGTATTTATATGCCCCACAGGAAACAAATAGTATGAATTCTAAGGCTTTTGTGAGAAAAGGAGAGTGGGAGATTTTTCATTTTTCTCTATGCTTTATTAGGACATTGTTGGCTGCAGGAATACTTCTATGCTTTATGAAGAGAAATATCCATCATTAGATGCTTCACAATTTTGTGCTTCCAAAATGCTATTACAAAATGTCTTTCTAGTAACTAAGTCACGTGGTAATCCAGCATGATTGTGTCCTATGGATGGGGATCTGACCTATTGTAGAAGGTTTTAAAGTTCGTAATTTCTCCCTTCATTTTGATTGTTTGGATGGTACAGAACTAAGGATCTTTTCTTTCTACAATAAAATGAAGAGATTGTTTTGTTTCTCTTGAATGAATCATTTGTTCTAAAATAAAAACTTAGAGAGTGTCATCTGACATCCTGTATCTCGGAATAGGAATAAGCATAATACAGAAAGGTATTTGCAGTCCCAGAAAATCGAGTCCCGTTGTTATTGTGTTAAATCTGTATTGGTTGGAAATTTTGTAGCCTCATTCATAAAGCTTCCTGTGGTCGGAAAAAGCTCATGTGAAGTGAGCTTGTTTTTAAAGTGCACAAGTAAAGGTGTATCCACCCTTAAAATTTTAGTGGGTTCAGATCATGATGTAATTTAAATTAAACAAGGGTGGATACACCTTTACTTGTATACTTTACAGACAAACTCACTTTAGAGGAGTCTTATCCTCTGTGGTATGTTAAGTATTATGTTCTTAGCTTCTTGGCAACATGGTTAGAGGAGTACCATTTTGGTGAGGCCAATTCTGTATTGTTGCCTTCTGTTTTTTCTGAATTTGAGGAATTGCCTTTCTTGCTTTTAAAGTTTGGAGACTTCTGTTGCTTATGACCAATAATATGTCCTTGGAATTTGAATCAGTTTTTCATGTTATGCTGCTCTCCTGCTGGTTCTTTTCTTATTCCTCAACCTTGTTGTATTTCAAGTTATTTCTGTTAGTGGAGAAAACTTCAAAATTTTCAACTCTGAAGACTTCAACTGTTGATTTTTAATTATTTGCAGACAGCTTCTACCACTGCTGAGAGTGAATTACAACCTACACATCCTATCCGATTGGGTCTGGCTCTAAATTTCTCTGTGTTTTATTATGAGATAATGAATTCACCTGAAAGGTATGTGGAAAAATAGCTGTGCTTATGAGAAAAAGGGTGGTGGAAGATCCTTATTTTGTGTAACTTGTTTTCAGGGCCTGCCACCTTGCAAAGCAAGCCTTTGATGATGCTGTCTCAGAGCTGGACACCCTGAATGAGGAATCTTACAAGGACAGTACCTTAATTATGCAGCTGTTGAGAGACAACCTTACTTTATGGACTTCTGATATCCCAGAAGATGGTGGTAAGATATATAGCTTATAAACAATCTAGTTTCCATTTCTTTTCATGACCATTTTGCCCCTCTTTTAAAATCAATTTACTATTTTATCCCTCTTCCCAAACTATATACGAATATGTCCATTTTCTTCAATTACATATCCATTTGCCCCTTATGGACCAAAGTTTGATCAAACCCTAATCCTTGATAAATCATTTACTTGAATAAATGGTTCATTTACTCGAGTAAGTATCGGTCAAACTTTGATCAAATAGGGACAGATTGATATATAGTTTAAGAGGGAAAATTTATATATAAAGTGGTAATTTTTTTAAAAAAAATAAGGGCAAAATGATCAATCAGCCACCTTTTGAGATGCAAATGATTTTTAAATTCCTATAATTGCTGACCTACTGATTTATACCTATTCCTGCTGCATATCTAAAAATCTTTCCATCAGTTTCTATCACCTCTTTTTCCCATGATTAAGTTGCTCCTTATTGGTGCTATTATGTGTATATGATATTTGTTGGAGTAAAAATAGGGGAGTGAAGTTGCCTACACCAATTATCTAGGCTTTTGGTTGATGTTCCAATCTTAATTCTTCTTGTTGGGGATTGTAGCTCAAACTGTGTTAGTTTGTTTGGTTAAAGTTATATATATATATGTTCTTTGGTTTAACTAGTTAAGTTTCTAATTTTCCATTTCAGAGGACCAAAAAATGGAAAGCTCAGCCAAGAGTGGCCAAGGAGAAGATGAGGGGGGCCGCTAATCCATCATCTTGCCATAACTACTAGATTGATGTGTTAATTTTTCTCACTAGCATATTTTATCCGCAATGGTGAAGCCTCTATATGGATGATGCACCTCATCAACTTTGAGTTATTGTTATTTTAGAGTGAGAGCGTGTATTTGAATCATGTGCTTCATTTGCATCCTATTGTTGGCTAGTCTTGTTTATGTTTGTGTAACAATTACACCATTGGTTTGCAAATGCATGATTCCACTATTTGTATTCTGTTATAATTAAGATTAGTTCTTGGGTTTACCCTTGAAAAATTGATCATAAATGAACCAACCCTAATGTTGCAGTAGTTAGACTTCGTTGGCTCAATTTGGATCATTTTGTTAAAACAGTCACAAGTTAACCTTCTTTACTATATCTTGTAGTGTAAACAGAGTAAGTAATTGAAAGACTTTCATTAAAACCGAGTTGATGATACTCAAAAGATCAGAAGTTCATACATTCGAGAGAGAGAGATATCAAACTGATACAAAGCTTAGAAAAGGGAAAGTAATCCTAACCATAGTAACACAGATCAGAAAATAAACTAACTATGGTAAAAGGTAAACTAACTATAGTTACTAAAATAAAATAACTAAAGTTAAATTTACTGTATGCTTAATACTCTCCCTCAAGATGGACAATGAATATCTAACACTGCCATCTTGGATAATAGAAAAAAAAGTGCAGTAGATGGAAGAGCTTTTGTAAACAAATCTGCTAGTTGATCTTTTGACTTGATAGGCATTAATCTAACTTGACCAGAAATGACTTGATCTCGCACAAAGTGACAATCAATTTCTATGTGCTTCGTTCTGTCATGAAATGTTGGATTAGAGGCAATATGTATTGCTGCCTGGTTGTCACAAAAAAGTAAGGCAGGAGCAGCTCTATGCAAACCAAGATCAGTGAGAAGTTGTGAAATCCAACATAGTTCAACATTGGTAGCAGCCATTGCTCTATATTATGCTTCAGTTGAACTTCTGGAGACAGTTGTTTGCTTTTTAGCTTTCCAAAATATTAAAGAATCCCCAAGGAAAACACAAAAATCAATTAAGGACTTTCTGGAATCTTGACATCCACCCCAGTCAGCATCACTGAAAGCATTTAATTGAAGAGAAGAAGAAGACGAAGAAAATAAAAGACCCTGACCAGGATGAGCCTTGAGATATCGCAGAAGATGGTGGGCAGCTTGTAGATGAGGTGTTCGAGGCTGTGAAACAAATTGGCTTAATCGATGAACAACATATGTAACATCTGGTCTTGAAATCGTTAGATAAAGTAGTCGACCAAATAAGTTGCGATATTGAGTAGAATCTTTAAGAAGATCACCATCATAGGTATTGAGAGTTATGTTGGGATCTATAGGTATGTTGGCAGGCTTGGAAGCCAAGAAACCAGTATCCTCAAGCAACTGCAGTGCATAATGCCTTTGAGAGAGCACAATTCCTTTCTTGCCCCGAGCAATTTTAACCTCAAGAAATATTTAAGAGAACCTAAGTCTTTAAGCTTAAACTGAGAGTTAAGAAAAAATTTAACCTTTTGAATCAGTTCAATAGAAGGCCCGACTAAGATGATGTCATCCACATATACTAGAAGAACAATTAAGTCAGCCCCAAAATCTTTAGTAAAAAGGGAATAATCAGAGCACTGAACAGTTTAGAATACCACTGCCGGGAAGCTTGTTTAAGTCCATAAAATGCTTTATGAAGCTTACAAACAAGTTTAGAATCACTTGAAAAAGAGCAAAGGGTAAATTTTGGTGTACAACGTTCCCCGAGTTATGGAAATAGAGATGAGGGTTGATAGTATGTATTCTATTTTACAATTTTTTGTTTGCACGAGACTTCCGTTACTTTAAGGCTAATATAAATAATAATAGGAAAAATATTTTCTCATCTTATAAAAGAATTGTTTTTTTTCTATTAGTGATCTTTCAATTCTTGTGTAATATTTTTTTTAATAGATGTGGGTTTCATATAAGATATGTTTATAGCATGAGAAATATTTTTCCTATTGCATAAGAAAATCGAAGCCCATAATAATATTATATAAAAGTTGAAGGAGTGTAAAATGATTAAAATCTAAATAAAAGTATCAAATATAATTTGGGATAGGATATTATGTTTATTTTTTTCCATGTTTATTTTACCTATTCCTTTCATTTTAGATCACAATAAGTGAAGAAAAAATGATAAATGTTAGTTGAGATTATAATATAATGACGTTAGAGAAAAATAAATAGAGTAGATATGATAAAAAGATAGGTATAATATATCATCCCATATAATTTTATTTTTACCCTTTCATTTTACTAAAATTTTATATAAGATTTGGAGAAGTTGGTTGGCAGCCATTTAAGACATTGATTTCGTCATAGGGCACAGTTTATTATGAAGATTCTAGTTTTGTTCAGGAAAGAAGTATTACTGTATTAGTTCCTATAATTCAATAATTTCATTTTAAAGAATATAAAATTGTGTTATTTTAAGTGAAAAAAAGAGATAAATAAAAAATGATGGATAAAAAAAAATAAAGATACGGATCTTATCTCTTTATGAGAATAAAATGACACAAATTATATAATTTAAAATGATAAATAGTTTTCTCAACTTGTATACTATTCTAAACCAAATAACTCATAACTGCTTTTCCTCGTAGGCTACTTTACTGTTATAAACTTTCTGCTGCAATATTATTTCTTAAGAGGTAAATACTTGATTTTCAAAGTAAAAATAAAAATAAAAGTTGACGACGATATAATTGAATCTTTTCTTTCACCTTCATTTAGAAGTTTGGGGTACATAGAGATCAAGAAGTGAATGAAGATTTTGAAGGGGTTCAAGTAAGGTGGAAACTTTATTTATTGCTAATCAGTAAATATATTTTCTTCTAGTTAATTAGAAACGAGAATCAATGGAAATTGGAAAGTGATAGAAAATAAAAATTGATTATGAAGTGAGGAAAAATCATTATGTTAATCATCTTGATTTTTTTTAGAGGTGACAATATGGATTGAATCTGACGAGTCAACCCGCCAACCCGCCAAAACGGAACGGGTTGGGTTGAGGTTTTCAACCCACCAACTCACTTCAATTCGTCCCGCCTAGAAATGGGTCAAAACGGGTTCAACCCGCCGGGTTATAATTATTATTATTTTAATATAATTAGGTAATATTTCATTTGTCATTAAATTTTTGTGATATCCAATTTTTTTTATCTTAATACTTCCTAGAAAAGATAAAGAATAATAATTTTATTTATGAAAAATGTTATCTATATATGAAGACAAATGAGTTCTTAAAGAATGTTTGGCAAATATTAGTATACATTTAAGATTGAGACTGAAAAAAATTAAGAGAAGTGTGAAATAAGATAAAATATAATTTATTTTTAAATTTTAGTTATATTTTTTTAATTGGCGAGTTGGTGGGTTGACCCGCCAACCCACCATAAAACGGAGTGGATTCAAATTTTCAATCCATATTCGATGGCGGGCCAACCCGCCCCGCCCCATTTTTAGCGGGTTGATGGTGGATTAGGGCAGGCCAACTCAAATTGCCACCCCTAATTTTTTTTCATACTTTGATTGAAAAATCAGATAATTAATTAATCATTGATAGAATTATAAAAAATGAGACTCTTAATTTAAAAAGTAAAATAATATACAGATACCAAATTAATTATCTTAATTTTTCCATTTTTAATATGATTAATCATATAAATATAAAATTTGGGGCCTCAAATTTTTATTATCAAAACATTTAGGTTTGATATTCTTTTGATTAATCCGGTGAGAAAAAAAATTATAAAATTCCCTAAATTAAAATGTCATTATGTATAATAGGTATTGAGATTATAAGAATTTAAATAGGGAAGGAAGAAAAGAGAGAATAAAAACTAAATAATATAAAATTGATGTTGATTTATGTGTTGTGATGTGATATGCTATGATATGGTATAAATTACAAATTATTGATTCCTATTTATACTAATATTAAATTAAAAATCTTAATTAATTAAGATACCGTAATTTATTCTAATTATTATGGAGGAGTTAACGTAAGTTGGAAACTTAAAGGTGAGTCTGTTGTGTCTTATGGTACACCTCATTCTAATGACATGAATGCAAATTTACGGTCACAACTAGATCCTATGATCTGAGCTTTCATAAGAAACACAAGGAGAAGATCTTCAATTCACTTTTTTTTTTTTCCAATTGCAAGCAGCTTGTCTTTCTGATTGGGACAAATTTTTTTTTGAATAAATTAATGAATTTTGGAATGAGTTTGTCCACGGTAACAAAAATGATTGTTACTTAAGGCTGTTTGGTTAAGGAGAAGTGTCAATATCCCTAGCAATCCTCGAGTGGGAATCAGTGTTTGCATTGTTTGGTTCAAGAAAACCAAAAATTTCTCCAGTTTTCACAGTTGCGTAGCAATTGTCTTTTATGTGTAAAGAAGCAGGAAAGTTACTATGTTATTTGTCCAAAGTTAATGTCATATTCTAAGAAGCATAGCGAAATGGCTTTATGAGATGCGCCTTTTTTGACAAAACTACCCCGACGAGAGCTGAGCAAATGTTGGGTCAATTGAATGTAATTTCAAAAGGTTTTCAATAAGTTTTAAAAAAATAAAGGGTTATTTCTTTTGGGAGTTATTTTATAATTTTATTAAATTTTCTCATCATTATTTTATCTTCAACCAAACACACATTCAGGAATTTCACTCAATTTTTTTGGTAAAATTTTGTTCAACCAAACAACATTTTTAAAACTTTCCTATATAACTCATTTTTCCTGCAGATTCTTAATAATTACATTTTTTTAGTAAAACAAAAATTTTTCCTGAACCAAACAAAGTAAATAACAAAACAAAATTGAACAGGGTGATTTACTTAATTTCAAAGGTTGATCTGAATTAGCGGCACATATATATCAACAAAATGGGTGGAGGAAAATCAAAAGAGGAGCAAGTCTTTCTCCCTCCAAATATAGAGAGCCCCATATATAGTAAGAGGCATTTTTGCATGTGCCCTCCTATATAAGGATTTGATAGCACCCCATTGTCTCTTAACACCAAGGGGAGGAACATTAATCATTAACGACATCATCATGGGAAAATCATTCGCCGTTGTTGCTCTCCTTGTTTCTGCTTTCTGCTTCTCATCTGTCTTGGCTCGCAAAGCACCTCCCACTGGTGAAGAATTCTTCGTTGAAGGCAAGATTTACTGTGATCCTTGCCGCTTCGAATTTGAGTCCAGACTTAGCCACCCCTTGTCAGGTACATATCTGATTATTTGTTCACTATATATATATATATATAGATTATAGTATAAGACTAAAATGTTTTACTCCCCATTTGGATTAGCCATTGATTTTCATTTGTTTAATGGTTGAAAATCAGCAGCAGCTAAGATGGGGAATAAAACTTCTTAGTCTTACACTGGAGTCTTTCCATTATCTTTTGTAATTGATTTAATGGTATCCAATGATACACATATATCAATATGTATTTATTAACTATGTGAATCATTGTATTCCAGTAAATCAATTACTAAAGATGTTTGTAAGACTTTTTAAGTATGTATATATTAGAGTAAAGTTCTTTTTGAGTCCTTAACAAAAAAACACGGTTTTCACTTTTGTTCTTTACAAAAAATTAAATACCTATAGTAGTCATTTTTTAGGGACTAAATTGAATTTTCATTGAATTTTTTAGGGATCACATTTTCAAAAAATAAAAATTGTAAAAGGACCAAAGATTGACTTTTTTTTATAAAGGATGAAAGTGGGGACCGTATTTTTTTTTGAAGATCCAAAAAAGACTTTAGTCTAGATTAAATGTCAAATGTGATGATTTAATGTACATGTGTAAGGTAGGGAAGAGCAAATGACACAAAGTATTTATAATATGTGCAGGTGTTAAGGTGACTTTGGAATGCAAGAAACCAGACAGTGATAATGTGACATATGTCAAAGATGTTGTAACTGACACAAATGGGATATACAGTATTCCCGTGCATGGTGATCACGAGGAGGAGATATGTGACGTTAATGCTGGGGAAAGCCCAAATGGTGAGTGCAATGAGTCCATGAAAAACCAGGCTGATAGAATTGTGCTGACCAAAAACATGGGTGTCTCCTCCTTGAAACGCTATGTGAATCCCCTTGGGTTCAAGACACAGGCAGTTGATCCACAATGTTTCAGTGTCTTCAAGGAGTTGGGTTTGGACAACCTTGATGACTGAGTGGGACAGAGAAATTAAACTCGATCCTCACACATTAATAAACATCTATTAAAAAAAAACAAATTATGTGGTGTAATGTATACTGGTACAATTGACCTGTACTAATTTTAACCATTCTCCAATATGTGTTGTTAGTTATGCTTAACTATACAAACACACGTTATTTAAATGATAATTTTCAGAGTTTGGTACATTTTTTTTTTTATCTTTGATTAAGCATTTTTAGCTATATTTAAAGGACTTTTATTTAATTTTGAGTTTCGAAACTTGTTAAAAATTGAAAATGTGTGAAATTACTCAATGTTCAGGAGTGTGAATAAAGTTAGAGAAAAAATTGTAAAAAGTAAGTCAAAGATTAGGTCATAATCCTTGAAATATGTTGCTGTGCCGTGTATAGAATATAGAAACTTTTATGCAGCCACTTTCATTTTACGTCTCAAATATTATATATTATAAATAGATTTTTTTCTGTGAGCTAGGTTTATTCTCATGTAGATTACAAAAATTATTTAATCGTAGAGTTCAAACTTACTTATCATTTAAGTTATTTTTATAAGTTTCTTGTGACACAAGATAAAACTAACTAGATAATATTAAACAACTACTATTCATGAAGGTGGGGCTATATATGCATGCTATTGGGTCGGTTTGTTCAGCGTTGATCCAACGCAGAACCCAATTCCACCCTTTTCATTTCATACCATATAATTAAGGGATGTTGTTGACAAACCAATAACCAAACAACAATAATTCTCAAGTTTAGATCTTTAATATTCTTTGCTATTCAAATACGAAAGAAGGAGAAGGAAAAAAAAAAGACGTGTTATTGTTTCTTGTTTGGACCATTGATGAGATTACTAATGAGTCACTTTTAACAGCTATTTTATTTTATAAAAGTTGCCAACAACACTCTAGAGAATGCAACTCGATCTAAACATGTATTGTTTAATCTTTATGCAAATAATGTAAAGGCACTTGTATATCCAATTTTGAATTCTCTTATTTTTAACCTAGAAGCTACTTATAAGCTAAAGTTAAAAAAAAGAGCTTAAAAAAAGAAGCTAAAAGTTGTTTAGAAACTACATAAAAATTTTAACTTAAAAATTACTTAAAAACACATATTTCAAGAAAATTATCTCTCTCTATTTTTATCACTCTTCATTTTTTAAAAAAGCATACAATTCAAGAAAAACAGATAAGAGCTTAAAAAAAAAGTTCCTCCTAGAAGCTTTTAGTTTTCAGTTTTTTTCTTCATTATAAAAAAAAGAGTTTTTCGTTATAAGAGCTTTTCTCAAAACCTGTTTGGCTTAGCTTATACTTATAAGTAGCTTCTAGCTTAAAAAAGAAAAGATTCAAACAAGCACTAAAAATAATGGTCGTTAGATTATATATAAATCAAATAATTTATATCCTTATCTTTACCATAAAGCCGTAACGTGTGGTTGGATTTCAATCCTTTTCATTTTCATTTTACATTTTTCCTTGAAGCTTAATAAGTCTTCTTTTTAATAATAATAATAATAATAATAATTAATAACATCTAGAAGAGCATTCCTTTTAGTAAAAAAAAAATAACACTAAATTTTTAAAGGTACAGCGTGCATTATAAAAAAAAGTATAAAATATATATTGAAAGTGTATGCAAGACTAAGACTTTGTTTGGGAATTAATTTTACGAGGGAAAGAAGGAGAGGAGTTTAATAATTCTTTTCTTTATTTGTGAGTTTAAAAAAGTTAGAGGAATGAATTGAGAATTTTTACAAAATCCTTCAAAAAATTTATTGTTCTTAAAATTAAAGTTCTCCCAATTTGGGAGGTGTAATACAAAATAGAAAGAAATTTAGAAAATTGTTAATAATAATTAATAAAGGGACCTTCAATATTTGAAATTACTTATCTATTTTTAGCATTAAAAAGTGAAAACTACATAATGTGTATTAATTTTTTAAATGTGACACTACTAACAATTTTCAAATACCGACAGAATTTATCTACAGAGAATATTCTGTAAAAAATAGTAATAGAATTATCGACGAAAATCATATTTCAACCAAAATAGAGACAATTTTTTTCCATCGAAACTAAAGATAAAATTAGAGAGGGAACAAGATTTGGTCACAATCACTTACAGTTTTTTTGACGAAAATAAAATTTCGTCAAAACTCTTGACAAAATCTAAATTTCATCGAAACTTTTCCTTCCAAATTTTTCAACGAAAAATATTTTCGTCAAAATTTTCAACAAAACATATTTTCGATGAAAATTTTCGACAGAACACATTTTCATCAAATTTTTTTGATGGAATACATTTTCATAAAATCAATTGGCGGCCATTAAAATTCTTGACGGAATCTAAATTCCGTAAAAAATTTCATCGAAAATATTTGTGTCAAAAATTTTAACAAAAAATATTTTCGTCAAAACTGTCGACGAAACACATTTCTATCGAAAATTTTCAACGAAAAACATTTCCGTCGACAATCTTGACAGAAAATATTTTCGTCAAAAATTTAGACAAAAAATAATTCTGTCAAATTTTTTTTACAAAATCTAAATTTCGTCGAAACTTTCGATGGAATTTTTTTCTGTTGAAAAAATTTAAGAAATCATTTTCATCAAAACTTTTGAAAGAAACTAAATTTTGTTGAAAATTTCGACGGAATTATGTTCTGTTGAAAATTTTGATGCAAATTTATTTCAATCAAAATTTCAACAAGATAAAAAAATTTGTTGCCTTTCGACCAAAAAATTTCATTGAAAATATATTTTTCATAGTTTGAAACGTAGAAATTTTATCGAAAATATGATCTTTTTTAGTAGTGAGAAAAGTATATAAATAATTTTTTTTAATTTTGATTTAATTTAATTTGTAAAATATAATAATTATATTAATTTTTTAAAAGGGGTAAAATGGTAAAAATATCTCACTAACCTTTCATTTTTCTCCCTTACCGTTTTTTTAACTCTCAAACAAGGAAAGTGAATACCCTTTATTCCCCTCCCTTCCCCTTGGATTCCTTTCCTTCCCCTCCCCTCCAAACTCCCAAACAAAACTTTAATGTAATTCAAACTTTACATAATGAGAGTAAATACCTTTAGAAGTATATGGGAGTAATGCCTCTATAATTGATTATATAAACTATATATTAATTTAATGATGCTCCTACAATTGGCTCATTACACATAACTCAAACATTGATTCAAGAATTTTGGAGTCAACCAGAATTATATGGCCCAATAAGTGTGGTCCGTATGTTCAAAGAAGCAACAATTTAAAATATAACAAATTATGATCATATCCAAGTTCAAATGAAGCCACAAATATGATTGTAATTTGTTTGACAAAAAAGAAAAGTAACAAATTTGGCATGATTTGAGATCTAAGATTTGGAACATATTTTGAATGATTTAATTTTAATTATTTGTTTTATAAAGTAACTACCATTATATATATATATATATATTAGAAAATTTCCTTACTTTTAGGATGTTAGATTTCGAATTTATTTGTAATTAGTTTATAAAATGGTGCTTAAGACCCTTGTCGTAGGAGTTAAATTTTATTATTTTGATAATTAGGTTGAGAACCAGAGGATTAATCTTTTATGAAATCCCAACTTTTTGTTTAGCCACATTTTTATGTGCTTTCGGCATCATTTCGTATCAAAGCACTATGTTGCCTTCTACCAATGGCTGAACAGAATCGTGGAGGCTATGGATAGCGCGGAGTTGTGATGGTAGGGGGTGTGGATTCGTTCCTAAAGAAGGCAAACATCCATGTCATATAGACCAGCGAGACATAGAAAATGAAGAGTTCGGAAGATGGATCCAAGATTTGAAGTGACAACTTGTGCAGGTGATGGAAAAAAAATCCAAATTTTGGAACAACAACTTGTGCAGGCGCAGGGCAAGAAAATCCAAGATTTGGAGCAACGACTTGTGTGAGTGCATAATGAGAAAATCCAAGTTTTAGAGCGACAACTTGTAGAGGCACAAAGCATCAAAATCCAAGATTTAAAGCGGCAACTTGTATGGACAAAGTTGAACGTTCAATCCGAAGAAAGAATGTAATCAGAGGACGCATCTGATAATGAAAAGGAGGATGTCAATCCTTTGGGGATACTAAACCAGGGATGAAATTGGGGAATACGACCTAAAAATCAGTCCACTTTTGAATATTTTGAGATGCAACTAAACATTCCTGATTGACGTCTACGATCATAATCTAGTTTATGGTAATTATCCAATCCATGATGATAATCCAATTTGTGATAATTATATAATTTATGATAAGAGCAAATACCATTTTCGATCCTCAGCAAATTTTTCGATGTCCGCTTTAGTTCTTAGCAAATAAAAAGGCTATTCGTGGTTTTTAAGAAATTCAAAGTGGACCCATTTTAGTCCTTTTGAGGGACTAATGTGGGTCTTTTTTGAATTTATGAGGGACCATGATTTCAACTAAATGGGTCCATTTTGAATTGCATAGGGACCACGAATAGCCTTTTTATTTGCTAGGGACTAAAGCGGGTATCGTTAAATTTGCTGAGGACCAAAAATGGTATTTACTCTTATGATGATTATCCCACTTACGATAGCAATTCAATTTATGATGATTATCTAATCTACGATGGTAATCCAATCTATGATAATCATTTAGTTTATGATAAATATGATAAAGAATTAGATGATGAAGATCTAATAGAGGAGGAATTATCATTTGAGTTTCTGTCTAAAGATATTGATATAAGTGAAGATGAAGCATATTCGAGGGCAAATCAATTCCTAGTAAGGGGGAATAATTCACTTACAATTAGCTCATTGCACATGGCCCAACATTATTTCAAGAAGTTTGGAGTCAACTAGGATTTTGACCCAATAAGTATAACTCATATTTCAAAGAAGCAGCAATTTGAAATATAATAAATTACGATCAAATTCAAGTTCAAATGAAGCAACAAATATGATTGTAATTTGTTTTGCAAAAAAAAAAAAAACAA